ACTCTATTGTAAAGACATTTTTCTCCTTTCAGTTGTATGTCTGTAGTTCTAAAATACAACAAAGAAAACCTGTTCTTTGAAGTTTGGATGAGATGTGCTTTATAGAGTAAAACTGTGGAGTAATGTATGGGTTTTTTAGTATTAAGGATATATATTAGTTTAGTAGGTTATTAAGTAAATACTTTCTGGCTTCTCACAGTTTACTGAAACACTGGTCCTGTCAACAGGTCTCTTAATAGCCCAGTTGTGTCCTTCATAAGGATACAGCTTCCCTAAGTGATGCCCAAGTGTGTGTGCCCATGCTGGCTCAAGCAAAACTTGGCATAAAATACAGCTCATATCTTTGGTGAAATATTAGAACTCGTTTATTGTAACTTCCAACTTTACAGAAGAAATGAAACATGACCACTTTCTTTATAGAACTGAAAATCCATTTTTAGGTGCTGTACTTGTAGATGAGCTGCTTGGGGTGAGAGGTTTGGAGAGAAGGGGGAGATATCCCATACTTTATTTGTTCTGTATGGACAGTTTCAGAGTCTTACATTTTCCTCTGTGTTTTCTACTTTTTTGCATTCTGCTGTCCCCTCTGTTGAAAGGAAAAATATTGCTACAATATATCCCAGTTTTGAGGGGCTATCACGAGATGTTTCACTAAGTGTATATCTCTGTGGCAAAGCAGGGGTCCTGAGGTTAGCATGATGAAAGATAACTTTTCCTGCTTTCCCTGACTACTTTGTCAGAACATTGCCTGTGTCTTGCAAATGCGGCTGGAGTTGCTCTGGGAGACTTAATGTCCTTGTTCACCCTTGGAGAAGAAGGGTGGCCAGTTTCAAGCTTCGGTGATAGTAAGAGCTTTCTTTGAAGGGCTTCCCTCTTGCTCTGGGTATACTGACATGAAAGGCTGAGGCCTGGAGTTGTCTTGGCTGGTGATCTGGTCTGTGGATGGGTGGGAAGTGTTCACAGATGTCTGCAAGGGGGTAGTCTGCACATGCAGAACCCATAGGGGTAAACTGTTGCCCAGTTGTGTCGTTTGCACCAATATCTAGATGACAGAATGGCCTGGACTGGCTGCTGACTTGTTCTGGGCATTCACGTGTCGTGTGGTGTAAGGGCTGACTTCTGAGAAACCACAGCTGTTGGCTCCATGCTGATAGCCTGCCAGCTTAGCCAGGAGGAAATGGATGACAGAGCAAGCTGTGTGCACTGTACAGCAACAGGCAAAATAACTGGCTGCTTCATTTAGTTCCTTAAGCTGCTAAATGGCTCGTGAAGCATGTGGCCATGCCTATGTCTTCCCTGGGATTTTCCCAGGCATGAGTTTCTGCAGGGCAGCTGTTTGGGGAGCCTAGCAGGGCTGGCAAAAAGGGGCCAGTGTGGGGCTGCTCTCTGTAGCTCAGCTACTGATGCTTCCTGGAGTGGGACATGTTCTTCAAGAGGAAATGTGGTTGGGTTTCTTGGACCGCATCTCCTTCCCTTGCTGCTATGCTCACAAGTATTTCACAGGCTGTGAAATGTGGCCAGAGGTAGCCTTCATTTAAAGGGGAACAGAAAGGGCCTCCAGCCAAGGCAGAGCTGTTTATAACCACAAGCTGTTGACCTACAGCAACTGCTCATGGAGAAGCTCAATTCAGGTACACATTTAACTTTTTAATGAGTCTGTCGATGTCCTCAGTAATGGCTTTTGTAGCCTGGGTATCATTGCAAAGATATAATTTTTGAATCTATATGTGCAAATAGGTTGTCATTACTCAAGCATATTTGTGAGTGGGAAGCCCGATCTAGCAACCTGGCCTTTTAGAGCATGGATATTATTAAATGTAATGGAATGGTTTCCTCTTGCAGTGCTTGCACGTTCATAAGTCAGTAGCATGTGACTGGAACTTACAAGATGACCGTAGCTTCACTTCACTGCTTATGTGGGAGGTTGCAACTTCATAATTTTCTGAATGAGAAACCAGATGAATAATACCCGAAACTGTGACTGCTTGTTCCCTCAGCTGTTAATCCAATTACTGATTAACATTGCTTGCTTCTTCCCATATTACCTAACAGATCTATGCTTACATATGACCTCCGGGCAGTCAACTCTGTTGCAAGAATGTAAAAGTGTGAGACAGGGTCGGGCAATACCAGAACTTCTTAAAAGATCATATTATTCTTAATTTGCTATTTTTTTCCCTAGTATCAAACAACATCAACAAAGCAGAGAGACCAGGGGGCTTGTTCTCTCCTTGCAACCCTCTTATTCTTGCTTACTATAGATGTTGTAGCTGAGATCCATAGCTTTAGGTTTCATTTCATTCTGAAATGGACTGTATGTTAGGCAAATAAAATACAAATTACCACACTAATGGTGCCATATGGGGGTGGGTATGATGCCCTTAGTATCAGCATGCTGGCAAGCATCAGCTTGTGCCTATGTTGCAGGAACTTTAACGCTTTGTTGTAACTTGGTCATCATTTGCTCTCTCTTATCTGTGGTGAGCTTAGTCTTTCTGATTTAGTCATACTGGAAATAACCAACAGAGATTACAGAGTCACTATTCTAGTAAGAGTTGCCTCATCTCCTTCCCAAAACATATGGTGTCTTGCTCTGCACATGCCAAATGCCTGATGTGATAGCCATTGTATAAGGGAAGAATATGGGACCAGTGCTTTTTTTTTCTCCCAGCAGCCTGACACTATGAGGTGGAAGTAGTCCACCTTTTTGTAAGAGAAGAGCTCCCAAAACTGAGGTCTGCCTCTTGCAGCTGATGACTTTGGACAGTATCAAATAAACATATTGTGTTAAGGAATTTAAAGTTTCAGTCCGTTTTCTATAGTACTACCACTGTCTGAAAATCCAAAAGACCACCTTCAGTACACAGCCTTGTGTCAAAGTAGTTTCTTAGTCAAATCTGCATATTTGTGTTGGTGCAGTATTAAAATCTATTTGCTAAATTACATGTGCTGTTCTTGGTTTGTTTAAGAAATGTCAGTGTTGGTGGTGATACCTTGAACTTTAGAGCTGCAGATTTTTGGCTCTACTCTTTCTACAGCAAATATTAAAGCAGCAATGTACTTGTACTCATGTGAGTAGGCTTACTTGCCATGTGGGATGACTCACATACATAAAGTTAAGCAAATGTGTACCACTGTTCTTGACAAAAATTTCAGCTGAATGATTTGCTAAAATTTTGTGGTTTAAAACCTGTCTCCGGAAAGCAGAGTTGCAATAATATAATTCATAAAATCCCATTTAATGTACAAAATATATATTTTAAAAGTATACTTTTTATTTCAAATATCTTAAGTTTTTAAAGATCTTAAATTTTTTTTTTTTTCAGCTTTGAAATGAAAAGGGTTTGGAGAAAGCTGAGTCACCAAAAGTTGTTTACAATGCCCAGGGCAAGTCCATGTCACTCCTGTAAACACTGGAAGGTAGAGATGAGAAAGTGACCAATAAATACTATACTTGGGTTGCAGGAACAATTTCAAATATCTTCAGTTTTTGGTGGTGGTGATGATGATAATAATAACGATTATATTCCTGACTGACTTGTAGCTTCACTGTTTGCAGCTAGCATGAACTCCTATAAAAGCCTGTTTTAATAACTTTGACTTTCTTGTTTTTTGGAAACTTGATGTACACAGAGACTGGGAGATTCTGAGTAAAACCGGGGCTGTTGTCAGCTTCACTGTATGGTTACCACAGGTTAGACAGTGCAGTTGGTCTCTCAGGTCTTTCTCATCAGGACTGAGCATTTTAAATAGAGCATTTCTTACTAATTTAAGAACTCTGCCAGTCCAAATTTGAGATTTTTATCTAGTAAATAGTTTGTACTGCTCTTTACAGATGTGTTTTACAGTAAGTAATAATAATAACAAATAACTTTCAAAATGTTGTCTTAAATCCTTGACTACTCTACAGTTTTCCAAGGTTTGGAAAATTTTGGCCATGGCAGATTGAGTTTTAAGAGTTCATGCTAGTCTTCTGACAAGGGGGAGGCAGTGACTTTCACACTGTGTTTTGGGAGACAGGTAAAAAAAGGTGTGACTCATGTGAATCAAGAGGTAGAAAGGAAAGCACTCTGCTAAGTAGATACAAAATCATCTGGTGTTTCCTGTCTCTAGTTGGGAAAAATATTTCCTGGCGGGGTAGACGCCCTGTAGTCTATTTTAATTCTTGCTAGTTTGTTTTTTTTCTGGCAGCCAGTGATATCAATTCAGTTTTTTGCTCTTTCATCAATATCCATGCTGGTAGTGGGAAGCAGGAATGAGAACACTGTTCTGTGCGCACAGATGGTAGAGTTACATGTGTTTACTTCTACTTTTGGATCTGTTTGGGTAGAGTATTCCTATTCTTCAATTCAAAAGCTCTGGTACATTTCAGTTTCACTCTTGTATAGATACAGGAGCTTATAGTTCCTGCTTGAGGAACAGGATCCCTTAAGGCTATTGTTTCATGTTGTATTTTGTCATCACAGTAATGAACTTGGGAGTTGGGGTGAGCAACATAAGCAGGATCCAGAAAAATTAAAGTTACTACTGAAAAGCAAGAAAAGTTGGTTTTCTTCATTTACTTTAGAAGAGGAAGATTAAAGACTACTGCCCATCCTACAATTTGCTCAGAGCACAGCTAGATTCAGATGGGTCCAGTTGCTGATCATTCTTACATTAGACATCTACATCCTAATTCTGTTATCTAACACGAGAAGGGACTATCCATCTCAGCAAAGAGCGGCACTGCTGTTTGTTTTGTTAGCATGCTTAGTGCTACAACAGCACTTTTATGTCTTTGTGAATGTTCCCCGGCCATCTTTTTAAGGGGTAAAAAAATAATGAAAGCTCTGTAGTTTCCCTTTCTTCAACTAGTTCCCCTTTCCTGAGCATTACATTGAGAAGGAAAGCAAGTTCCACCCCACCACCTCACTGGCTGTTTATCAGGATGCATGTGTATGATACACATTTTCAGCGAAGGGGAGTGATGTGATAACAAGACCTTGTGTGCTTTATTTTAGACTCAGGCTGTGACTCTGTGACTGATACAGAAACAGAAAATGAGAAGAACCTAACTGACTCCCACAGACTTGCCATGAGTGATGAACCCAAGAGCACTGGTGACCATCTGGTGGTGCAGCCTGATCGCATACGGTGTGGGGTACTGTATGTCTACTCCTTGGGCTACATTCTTACCATGAGCTGGAGCAACTCATGCTGCTGTGTAGTGGAAAGCTTTATGGGCCTGGGAATTAGCCCATAATTCCTGTTCTGTAACCTTTCCTCTCAGCCCCCATCCTCAGTGTCTCTGTTTCATGAGCTCAGGTCCCTAGGCCCAGAAATAGCTGAATAACATGCTGTGCCCAGCGCTATGTAGGCTGCAATGTCACTTACTGACAGTCTCGTTAACATAGCTGCTTAACTCCACAGCCTGGATGCAGTCTAATATGACAATTCTGATGCATGTCCTGTAAGTGACTCCAAAGGGTCACTGAAAAACAGCATTTCTTAGTATAGCATCTCCTCAGGTGGAAAAAGTCTAGGTTTCTTCCTTCATTTCTGTTTAGAGTGGGAGTGTGCTGCTTGAGAGAAGAGACTGATAGAGTTGAGACTAAATAACTCTATAAATCTAGCTTTAATCAGTTTATGAATCTAGCTGATAAATCTGGAGTTTTATCAGCTTAATGCATCTATCTATGCTGGTGCAAGCTGTAGGAGAAGCCATCTGTCAATATCCAAGGCTGGAAGATGCTCCTGAAAAGCATTCAGGGCCATGAAAATGACAGCTGATAATTTATGTGTTGGTTGCAATGACAACAAAATTCCTATAAAAGGGGCTTAACAAAGTAAGTGTTTTGATATTGTGAACCTGTGTGTTGTAATGCCTTTTCTCTTAGGTGAAGACAACAGTTTATATTATCATGAAATGTAAACTAGATGGTGAAGTGAAAACTGAAGTTGAATTCTCTCCAGAGAATGCATCATCTGTGCGTGTGTTGGCTGAGATGGAGAATGAGTACACAATCTCTGTGGAGGCTCCAAGTAAGCTGGACTGAGATTTCCCCCAACCCTCCACCCATTGCTTCCTTTCTGTTTCAACCTGCCTGTTATGAAAAGTGCCAGAGGGATAAGAGTAGAGGTTGCAATGAAAGAAAACTTGAGGCCAGGAAATCTTGAATTTGCATTCTCTGTGATACTTCTGTGATGAGAAACTGAGATAGATTTTTGCTGGGGGCTCTGTTTTTCCCTCAGCAGTGGCAGGGTTGCAGTGTGGAAACACCTTACTGGGAGTTCTGAGAACAGATTGCAGCTTATAAAGTGCTTTGAACTTGATTGCGTGTTATAACCACCACCACATTAGCATTGGCAGGGCACCAAGAGAATGTAAGTTCCAGTAAATAATTGCATGCGTATAACAGCATGTGTTTAATGTGTGGTGATCTCTCCGTGATCAGAGCTGAAACTGTTTATCCTGGTTTGCCTTTTAATACAGGTATGTTCTGTTCTTCTAGGTATTTACATTTACAAAACTGTAAGTTGTCTAAACTTTAGGTTCACTATAGGGAACTATAGGGGGGCCTATAGAGATGCTGGAGAGGGACTCTTCATTAGAGACTGTAGTAACAGGACAAGGGGTAACGGGTTAAAACTTAAACAGGGGAAGTTTAGGTTGGATGTAAGAAGGAAATTCTTTCCTGTTAGGGTGGTGAGGCACTGGAATAGGTTGCCCAGGGAGGTTGTGAATGCTCCATCCCTGGCAGTGTTCAAGACCAGGTTGGATGAGGCCTTGGATGATATGATTTAGCGTAAGGTGTCCCTGCCCACGGCAGGGGGTTGGAACTAGATGATCTTAAGGTCCTTTCCAACCCTAACAATTCTATGATTCTATGATTCTAAGATTTCAGAGTCCTACAGATTGATAGTAGTTTTGCAGCATGATTTTGTATAATCTACTTTGGTCTGCCCTCTTGAAGAGTTATTACGACAGCTTGAGAACAGAGACTAACAGCCATTATAGCGACTCCCATAAAGTCAGAGAGGTGGATTGATTTAAAGAAGGTGACTTCACCCACATAAAAATATTCAACTTAATCTGTCTAAAATCAAGACTTATAATTTAAGCATGGACCCAGAAATTAATCTTTCATTTTGAATTATAAACATGACCTTTGAATTATCAACATGACATTGATGGAGCATACAACTGTGTAAGCTCTGCAGTTTCTAGCATTAAGAGGAAATATATCTTTAATTCTTTTTGTGTATGACTGTAACTATTTCATAATTTCCTGAGACATTAATAGCCACCAGGGAAAGGTTAATTTCAGTAGGATTCAAAATACTTGTGTTTCAAAGAGAAAGTTCGGACCTGTGAATGCACATTAGATAAAGCATCAAGAAGCTCCCAAGGTGCAGGTAGAAGATACATCCTGTGAGTGAGTAAAGTTGCAAAGCTTGAATTCTTTTAAGATGATCTCCTTCAGATACTAATGAGGCTGACAAGTTGCAAAACCCCTAGTGTCTTTTCTGGTTCCTCTCCTCTTCTTCACCAGCTCTCACATTTTATGGCACTGCTCCAGAGAAAGCCAGGGGTGGAGAGATGTGAGGCTGTTTTTTTTTGAGGTGTGTGCTGTTAACATCAGTGGTCTAGACTACTGTTAGCAGAGGACCTAGCAGGTCACAGGTGAAATGCATCGATATAGCTATGAAGAAGGTAGTTCCAAAGTACTTTATTACCTAGTGTTCAAACCAACATCGTCTCCTTTTCTTCATGACTCCTCATGAATTCAGTACAACAGAACTGTTTTGGTATCCAGCTGGCAGTATCTGCAGACTCCTGCTATCCTCAGGGTATTTGATGCAGACTCATTCACATTTGTTCTTAACGGTGATGTCTTCTCTTTCTTTTCAGATTTAACCCCTGGGACAGTGCCTCTGCAGATATATTCAGGGGACTTGATGGTGGGAGAAACAAGTGTCATGTATCATACCGACATGGAGGAAATCAGCCGTCTGTTGGCTAATGCAGCCAACCCAGTACAGTTCATGTGCCAGGTAATGACTAGCAAACAGCTGCTTTGGAAACTAGCTTTCTCAGAGACTAGACAAGTGGAAATGAGAAAAAGAACTTCCATGAAGTAGCTCTTCTGAAGAGAAGAAATGCAAGGTTATTTAGGGATTTTCACATAACCTTAACATCCCCTTTTAGGAAAAGCTTTGGTGCTTTTCCTGTCTGGAGCAAATAGCTGCTAAGGTGACTCAGGCTAGCCAGCTAACAAAAAAATGCAGTCAATCCTCATATTCAGACCTTGATGACTTGAAAAGATCATCAAGATGACAGAACTTGATATAACAGAAAGTATCATAAAGGAATAGATTGTTTGGAAACTTGTACCTAAGGGTTCTTTGAAGAGATGTGAATAGGTAGCAAAGATTCATACTAACTGAATGAAGTAATGTAAAATGATTTTATTATTAGCACTTCTTTAAAGCCACTCCTCAGTTCTCGTATCACATTTTGCACAGTTGGGGTACCTGAACCCTATTAGAAGGGTAAATCTTGCACAAGAAGTTCTCCAGATGTGGGTTTGTTTTGTTGTTTTGGGTTTTTTTGGTTGGTTTTTCGGTTGGGTTTTTTTTCCCTGCCTGCTGGCATGTCAGCCATCTAGTGGAAGCCTACAGAGTAGTGTTGTTAGACATGAGTATACCTGGGGCAGGAGAGACTGTCTTTCCCTTCCTTTTTAGTTCAAGTTGTGGAGCAGTTGGCACTGGGCTGTGCCTCTACTTGGTGAATAGGCATGCAGTTTTTGGCTAAGAACCAGTTCAAAAGCCAGACCCAGAGTGTACAAAGAGCAATTCAAAATGAACTAGTTCATGCTTAGACCAGGAGTGACACTTCACTGGAACAGTTTCAGAAGTGAGAGTATACCTGTCAAGGAATTAGGAAGTAATGGTTTTCTGTGCTTCCAGTTGCATGAGTGACTTTCTCATTGTCTTGTTCTGGAGAGTGTGGTTCTTGTCTGCTCAGATTACTAATAATTTGTTTCTGGATCAGGAAGCTATTTATGTTCTTTGCTTGGTCTTCAGTGTTTATGCCTACTGTTTTATGATATGTGCTAAATAAAGAAACACCCTATAAATCTCACCTTAACTGAATCTACAGGCACCTTCAAACAAAATCACTTTCCATTTACCTCTAGGCCTTTAAAATCGTGCCATACAGTGTAGAAGCACTGGACAAACTATTGACTGAGTCACTCAAGAAGAACATTCCTGCCAGTGGCTTACACCTGTTTGGAATCAACCAGCTGGAGGAAGAAGATATGACAACAAGTAAGTTGAAAGATTTTTGTTTTCATTTTAAACCTCGCCTGTATTAGTTGCTCTATGTTGGAGCTGCAAGTGTATGGTACCTGTACAGGCTGTCTCAAATATCTTGGATCTCAGCCAGGAAGCTATATTTCTATAGAAGGGGGATTGCCATTTGGGTTGGGTCACCCTTTCTTTATTACATGCCATCAGTCTCACTTCCTTGCACTACAACAGAGTCCATGGACAGCTCCAAACACTACCAAAGTCAAAAGATGATGCTCCCAAAAATGTCTCGGGTATTTTGTCCCTTGTTCTTCTCCCAGCCTTGTATGTCATTCTCCAGCCCAGTCCTTTACCCCCACCCCCATGATTCTGTTTGAAGGTTCACAGTGGGCACTCAGCAGTTGGATTGTGTGTGAATCACCATGACATGATTACCTTACAGCAGCTGGATTCTACTGGTTTGATGATCTAAGAGGTCCTCGCAACCCTGGGATCCTACATATATTAAGCTATTAGAGTACCAGGCTCCCCACTAAAGGTCATAAGACTTAAGCTTACTGGCTCTGCTGCTAGAGAAAAACTTAGATTCTAACAGGTTCTTGTTCTCACAGATCAGAGGGATGAGGAGTTGCCAACACTGCTTCACTTTTCTGCAAGATATGGGCTGAAGAACCTCACTGCCTTGCTGCTCACTTGCCCTGGAGCTCTGCAGGCCTACAGTGTAGCCAACAAATATGGTCACTATCCAAACACCATAGCAGAAAAGCATGGCTTTAAGGACCTTCGCCAATTCATTGATGAATATGTGGTAAGACAAAGCAGCAGTCCTTCTGCATTGTCCCACAGCAGGTGTGGGCAGTGGCACCAAGCTTGTCATTTGGTGTTGTGGGAGCAGGAGTGAAGGGGTAATAAAGGGAGCAGTGTGTTGTGGTAGGGTGTAGAATACAGACATTCAGCCACACTGAAAGGCTGGAGGTCTGGGTCTGTGGAGGTGGGGATGTTCTTGGAGGTTTTGCACAGAAACAAATAAGATGGAAGCAGAGACTGCCATGGCTGGGTTTCCTTATCATCCATTCATCTAATGAAGTTTTGGCAGGGATGTGGTTGATGCCTGGTGTACTCTTCTAACCTCTGAACTTGGGAAAACTACATACCCTTCATCCCACTTACATTAGGGAGTAATACAGGTACAGGATACGTTTGGGAGGGTAGAATCTGAGATGTTCTCTGATTAATCAAAGTTCAGTCTGGATTGTTTATTAGCTCATTCACAGCTGTTTTGTGTTGTATGCCTGCCACACTTGAAATCCATTTCTTCCTGTGTTAGGATAGCTGTCCATCCCCTGCTTGTTATCTCTGGTAGCCCAATTCACAACTCGGTTCTCTTTGAGCTAACCCCATCCCTAGAAAACATCACTCTAACTTTTCCAGATTATGACATGGACCTGACTCCAGCTGCACCAGGCAGTTGTTTCTGTGGGGTCATTTTGTGTGCATGGGGATTTATCCTTTCTTTTCCATTTGATTTGTTTCCAGCCTGTATACTTCAAAATAATAAGCAGCTCCTTGACTCAGATCACATGAATTATTGAGCAGATTTTATTTACCTTTGCTTTCAGCTGAAAAGTTGTGCATAATTGTCTCTAACAGTTGTCTGAATGGTGGGTGATAGATCTGCCAGCCTTAGTGTGGTTCTGCCAGCCAATTATGGTAGTGTTTAAGCTCTGTTTAGGAGGCATGGGTGGCTCTTACGACTTGGGGCTTGCTTCATAAGCATGAATTTAAGGTTATACGTAAGAGCTTCTTACAAAGACTGTTCTGATATCAGGAGGGCTGCAGAAACTGTAAGTTGTGTGATTAAATCTTTGCATTGGGATAAGTGAGAGGTGCTTAGGAAGTCCTTCCAACCTCTTATTGCAGTACTGTACTCTTCCCATGTCCTCCTTTCCACCAGCACACTAAGAGCTGTGTTAAGAGTAGGTCCTGCTTACTGACCATCAAATTATCTGTGCAGCTTACTACCAGAGCACACAAATTATCTGCACCACTGTGTCCACTGCAAGGTAGTGACTAGAAGCATGACTAGTATGAATATCTGAAAGTCCCAGTAAACCCAGTTACCTAATTTTCTCCCTGGAAAATGTTCCTCTGCACCTTCCTGAAGTATCCCATGAGCTACCTGTCTGACCTATTTTGACTGTGGGAGAAAGCATGTGCAGACAGTTTTGACACACATGCCCTGTGGATTGAGGTGACTGCTGTGGATGGAAGGATTTCTTACAGTGGTGCAACCGGTTAAAACGGCTGTGGTTGTGACATAGTTGGAACCTGGGGAGGAGGCTGGAAGGAAGATTTGTTTTGCTCCTTTGCATCATTTGGTGGAGATCCGCACTGCTCTTCCTCCACCCCATGCTGCAAATATGTGAGAAAGGGTTCTGCTGTCCTGTGAATTGAAAGTGCCTATATTACACAAACAACTGCCTGCTGTGAGGTTTCCTGTTACTCTCACAGAAAAGGGTCTGTGTACTCCCACTCTGGGTGTTACATACTGCTGCTAATACTAGGAAACTGAAACCAAATCTACACCAAAGCTAAAACTTTGCTTTCTTGTAAGTGCTCTGCATATGGCAGCTCATGGTCAGCTATGCTTATCCCAAAATAGCCTTTGTCAAGCATTTGTATTTTTAGAATGAGCTTTGCCTATGTTTTCAGAGTTTGCAGGTATCACGTAGGACACAAAATTGAGGGGGTGAGAGTCTGCAATAGCTATTCAGATGTATGTCAGCACCAACTTATATCACCTTCATTACCCATTATTACTACATAGATCTTGAAGGCTGGGCCCAGCAGCTGCAGTGGGGATTTAATTCTTTTGAGAAGCCTTAGTCTTTGGGAATGGGCTGCTTTAGAAGACATTTTCCATCAGTGATGGGAGAGTGTGATATCTTTTGTTTGCTTCAATTTCCCAGATTCTTCATCTAAATGAGACTTGATAATTTTTTTTTTTTTTTCATTGCCCTCCTTCCTCTCCAGGAAACTGCAGATATGCTGAAGAGTCACATTAAGGAAGAGCTGATGCAGGGCGAGGAGGATGAGTCTGTTTATGAGTCCATGGCTTATCTGTCCACTGATCTGTTGATGAAGTGTTCCTTGAATCCTGGCTCTGATGAAGAGCTTTATGAATCCATGGCTGGATTTGTCCCTGCTGCCCCAGAAGATCTTTGTATGTATATTTATAGTATCACGGAATCATAGGATGGTTTAGATTGGACGGGACCTCTGAAGTTATAGATCAACCTCCCTGCAATGAGCAGAGACGTCTTCAACTAGATCAGGTTGCTCAGAGTCCCTGTCCAAGAGGCCTAAGCTGATCTGTCTCTCCTATACATATCAGTGCCTCAGCTCAATTTCAGAGTAAGGGCTGATTACAGCTTTTCTGCTCTCACCACAAGGAAACTATACTCCAGTTCCGAGCTGGCTGGCTAATAAAATTGCTCTAAACCTTTCTCTGATTGGCACTGTACAAGGTCAAGAGATGTTTTCCTCAGTGCTTTGAGGACTCCCTGAACACTGAGCAAGTGAATTAGCATTTGGAAGAGACCAAATTTTTACTGTCCTGCTTCTCTCTCTCTTGTGATTCAGGGAGTTAAGGACACTGGTCTATAGCCACTGGTGGAAGATGTGTTTTTCTGACAATGGGGAAACTGAAAAAACAAGAGCTGAGCTCAACAACTTGAGAACAAAAGAAAATGAACATTTAGGAATATGTACTGAAAAGATTATAAGTGCAAAATCATTATTCTAATCCACTTAGTTTATTACTAAAAATATAGAGCTAATTCTGATAAATATGCAGATGTTTAACTTTTCCACCATTCCATTAATATTCAGTGAGGCTGATTGAAAATATCAAGCTAAGCACCTATGTTAAGCAATTGTAAATTTGCTGTTCTTACTTATCTGCATATATTTTGTCTAGATTCATTTCACTGATATGTTTTATGGTTCCCTTGGTGAGCAGAGAATCTAGCTAATTAAGTACCTGCATAAGGACTTTCAGTGTATCGGCAGTTTTAAGTGTGCTGCTTCAGGAAGAAAGTTTACTTACTGAAACAGTTATGCTTATAGCTATATCTGCCCTGGGCTAGTTTGCTCCTGTTTTAGATTAAATGATGTTATAAAGCACATTTCCATTGACTATGGAGTCCAGAAGACTTTGTTGGTTCTCCACCTGAAATCATAAACTCTTTTCTGAAGCTTTGGCCTCTGCAGGGATAGTTTTGCTACCAAAACTAAGATTATTCTGCCTTCAGGTGGAGATTAAGCAGTAAGCCTGCTTGGACACCTAAGGAGCAAAGCTACTGCTGTTTGCAGTAATGGGGGTGAGAATTTCTAGATGTTTGGAAGCTCTGCAAGCAACCAGTGCACCCCTGATGGACTAAGTCTGTGGAGGGAAAAAAAACGTGCTTAAAACCACTAAGTCCAACTTATCTTCTTCCATCCTGAAATGTCCAGATCTCTCAGGAACTATGAAGGGGATAATCTTTCTTTTGTGGATGCAAAACAAATTCCTTGCAATTTACCAATTTTGACCTGGACTCTAAAAAGCCTCTCTGAAAAGCCACATTAAGTTAAACAATTCAAGTACATAGGTTATCCTGCCCATACTTACTCTGACTGATGGATCTCAGGGAGAGGCTGGCTGGTGTTTTGGATGAATACACAAAACTGAGCCTGCTTGACTGGCAGGCACAGGTATGGAGAGCTAGGAAAGGTTGCTATGGGTGGGAAGGTTGTGCATTTGAAGCCTAAATCAGGCTGCTTTCCTTAAGCCTCCTCAGTAGCAAAGGTCCATCAGGCATATTTCCTGATCAGCAGCGTGACAGAGGTTTATGGGATCAGCATCAGAAAGTTCTCCTGGTATGCAAATGTGCTGCAGGCTTTGCAGGCCTAGTAGGGCTAAAAAGACAAAAACTCTTTAGCTGCCCCTAAAGTAGATACTTATGATTCCTTTACTCAAAAGCAAAGCTGAATGAGTCTGTGTTTTGAAATGTTTTCCTCATCGGTGAGATGCTGTGTATGGCTTATACCTCAGCAAGGAATGTGAGTGTGTTTCCTGCTTCTTAAGGAGTTCTCTTGAGTGGAATGTAACAGAGATATGTGTTCAGGAGCAATACAGTAGGAGTCTTTTACTGGAAAATCCCTGTTCTTATGTAGTCTGTTAGTCTTTGCCTGAAGAATATTTACAGCTTGTCTGACCAGTGCTTAAAACCTACCTGTATTGTAACAGGTAAGTTTAAATCGGTACAGCGTTCAACACTTAGACTGGTTCTCTCAAAGTGAAGGTCTTTCAATATTATTTAGAATACCAGCACACAGGCAAACCCTCACTAAGATTAATGGGTGCTGTGTGGTTTAGAACTGCCTTCACAAATAAAGGCTTCAAGCTTTTGTACTGACTTAAAGGTTTATGAGGATGAAAAACTCCCTAGGACATCATAATCAACTTCCACTGAGGTACTTTCTCAGTGTGAGCTCTTATGTAAGTAGTTATGGCTGTGGTATACAGGACAATACCTCGGCTATTTTAAGCGTAGCTGTATTGTGGCTGAATGCCCATTTGTTATGATCAAGATGTGCTTCCACCACAGTTTTTCAGACACTGATCAAAGGAAGGTTATATACCACAGGGTCAATTTTTCTGGCAGGATCTGGTTTGAGAATAAGGTATTGCAGAACTGGAGCCATTGTAATGAGTCAAAAGCACTAGCAGATACTTGAATACTGCAATGTTCTGTTAGTTCTTGTATTCTTCATTCAATTTTCAGTGTGTTTCATGTGTTGTGTGTTTCTTCTCTCTGCATATGGTCCTCAGAAAATATTTACAGAGAGTGCAGAAGCTGTGCAAGGGCCCAGTTTTGCTTAAGCTGGAGATGCACATACTTGTGTTGAGTTGCTAGTTGTCCCTTTGAGATAAATGATAGAATTAAAAAAAATGGAATTTCATTCATCTACAGAACACTGCCTCTCTTTCTGCTGGAGGGGAGTGTTCTTTTCCAGGTAGGTCTTAATGCCCTGAGTAGTGTAGATCATAAGGTACTCCTAACCAAATCAGTGGGAATTTACTAGCCCCTGCTGTTACCTTGTTTGCTATTTTTTAATGATGAGATTGAATTGCCTTATTTAATTTTTATCATTAATCTAATTGTTTCTGCTTTGGAAGAGCACCTTCCTTCTATTACGCTTTTCAAATACCTGTAAATTCAAACATAATAATTTTCTAGAATATGCTGCAGGTTGATGCAGGTTGCAGGTAAATGTCACCTAGCTGAGTCACACAGTCTCAATAGCAAAAAAGGGAGAGTTATCCCCGTCATATCAGTCTGGTAGTATTAACTACAGCATCAGATAAAGTGCTTTGCTTTTACTGCTATCCTTTCACCAGCACCTCCTGCTGATTTTTGCAAAATGGAGCATTTTAAGTAGGCTGAAGTTGTGTGCAGCATGGGCTCTGAGAGCAAGGACTCTTGAAAATGTGGAAACCTGTTTGATCTGTGTGAAGATTAAACTGCCTGGTGTGTGCTTTACGCTGTTTTACCTGGGGAAAGAGGCTGTATTTCCTCTGTCCAAGGTCAAACAGTGTCAGTGGCTAAGGGCTGGTGGAAACAAACCTGGATTCTTAGCACTGTTTCCATATCTGTGAGTTGTGTGACACTCAGACCCTAGACAGTGAGAATTTCATGCAGAGATTTAATCCTTTATCCCAGAGAGTTTCAGCTGACTGAAATTTATTGTCCTGTAATTTGCAGACCTCCAGCACCTAAAGAACAGATGTTAGTTCACATATAAGTTGTGATGCTCTCTCTCTTGTATATCCCTTCCACCCTCCACCATTTTTATTCTCTTAAGACCAAGCTTTCAACACTGCCCTTACTGATTTGTTTTTTTTCTTTATGTAATGCAGGAAACAGCAATCTCCTTGTTATTCTTGAGCAAACTGAGAGAATTGTGCACAAAAATATAACTGTTTATAAAGTTCTGAGTTGTAATTTATGCCAACACATTGAAGCCTTTGTCTTGCATAATAAACGACTGGCCTCTATAAAGACGTAGCTTGCCTCATGTGCATGAATACCTGGCATCTAGTGTTTGCAAATGTTTAGAGGGAAGGGTATGACTGCTTTGTAAAGGGTGCCATGCATGGATATTTTAGCTGTTGTGAAGGGTGTGTAGGTTATAACTTGTCTTCTGTGTGTCTGTCTCTTCGCTGTCTTCTGATGCCTTAAACCCTGCAAAGGGAAACTTAAAACTCTTTGAATAAATATCTTTTAGCTACTAAATTCTGACATCTAGGAACTACTTAACCCTCTTCCTGCTAAACCTTCAGACCAGCTTTCCCCAGTAGCCTCAGGAAAATCTGGTGACCTTTCCCGTTTTACTCAAGTTTGTGTGTGCCACCTTGTCACTTCTGTCTTGCTATCCTGTTTTTGCAGCAAGTGGAACAGAAGGTGTCATTGATGAGATGTTAGGTCTCATCTGTATGTGAGACATGCCCATGTGCAAGAGGGTAGTGAGGTGGCAACCGTGTCTTTGAAGGAGAACTAACTAGTTGATTAATTTAACTACATTGACTATGTGATAGAAAACAAACCCTGTGATATCCTGTTGCACTGCTGTTAGGTTTAGTAATCCTGCAGAGAATAGCTAAAGCTGGGAAGCTACTGTTCCCTCCACAGAGGATGAAAGGAGCTTTGCACACCTCTCACATCCTGTTCTGCCCCCAAATCCATAAAGTGGTGGCTTTCCTCTAGGCCTCTGTTTGCTAGAGGCTAATTTCTAAAAGCTATGTTAAAAGTAATTGTGGTGGCTGCAAGAGGGAAAAATCACTCTACAGGAAGATATAGGTCTGTAGTGGTAATACTTCAGGATGCTGAAATGTCAAATATGTGCTTCCATGTAGTAATGCAGCAAAACTTAACTGACCTTCATATGAGGTAGGTGATGCGCAATTAGCTCCAGCAGCATGCAGGTTGGCATGGACTGCAGAGCTCTTGAGAAGCTGCTAGTGTGGTTAGTCCACACAGCATGCAGCATTGCTGTGGCTATGCTGGAGGTATTCCTGTGAGGCTAAAGCTAGGTTGGATGCATTCACGTGACTGTCAGTGAGTCCTTTGACAATTATTACTTGAAAACCTCCACAACATTCTAACAAAGCAAAATTCTGCTAGCATATTCTTATCCCTCTCTCAAAATCTCTTCAGTTTAGCAGAAGACACCAGATACTAAAATTACATTTATAGAGAAATATTTCATATTCTCTTATGTAACCTAAACCATCTAGTTTACATAATAGATATTTCACAATATGCCTCAGCAATTCACTTACAATAATAAGCCTCAACAATTCATTTATGTCACTCATTGCAAGCATTTTAGTTTTAGGATTAGTTTTAGTGTTACAATGAGGTTGCCTCTTTTTTGGAATTAGAATTCCTTATGTCAAAACCACTGAATTAACAAAATACCTTATTGTTCACTGTCACTGCTTTCTCAGTACTAAATTATCATCTGACCCTCTGTACACTTTCCAGTCCAACTAATTATCTCAGCCAGCTGTTTTGACTTTTATCCAGTAAGCAAAACAAATACTATCTTCTGTGTCATGGGCAAATTGCCATTTAAGGTCTTGTTTTGCCAAGTCGCAGAGCTTCCACTCAGTTTGCTCTCTCAGGAGCATTGTGCAGAGGCCAAAACCTTCACCTGGCCAACACACTCTCAATAATAGCTAATCCTCAGTGCCTGCTTGGTGGCTTGTCAGAACTTCTCAGTTATGAATGTTAGTCACCTTCAAGCATAAGCATCAGGCAGCTGGCAAAGACTTGTGCAGAGTTGTCTGAACATAGCAGCTTTGGAGCCTTTTTTGAGGCAAATATCTGGTCAGTTGCCTGGCTTCCTCTTTGATCTTTCACCATAAGCCTAATGTCCAGTCAGAAATATCACATGATTTCATTATGTTATATTATATTACCCCACATATTTAAAGGCATAATCAACAGGGTCATCTTTCTGATTTTTTTTTTCAGATGTAGAGATGCTTCAGTCCAAACCAGACACTCCAGTTGGTGGAGATGAAATTTCTCTAACTACAAAAGACTCAATGCTCCGCAAGTTTTTAGAAGGTGAGACCTGTTTGGAGAGAGGATCGCCATAGCACAGCTAAAGCAATGAAACGGAATTTGAGATTTGTCCTTGATCTGTAAAGATAGGAGCTAGTCCACACTTTTTGGCATGGCTTTGCCTTAGTGGGTTCAAACAGGGCGAACAGCTTGTGAGGTGATCCCACAAATGCAGTTAGTTTCTTGCCAAAGAGGAGGAGTGGTTTCTAATTCCAGTCCTTGCCTACTAGTGAGTGCAAGCATACAGCTGGTATCTATTCAGGAATCTCTTGTCTTCTGTCCTCATCTTAGTGATGGGAATTAATTCTGGTGTCCGGATGTGGGTACAGGCTTCCCTCATGGGCAGATGCTGAGTATAAAGTGCAGCAGCACAAACTAGTGATGAATTTCAATGTAGATGCTTTATTCAAAATTCTGTACATTGAAAGCAGCAACCTGGAAAGAGGAAATGAACTGCTGGCTCCCAAACCTGATCTGTGCTCTGCCTCTTCAGTGCTCCCTGAGACTTCTTTGACCACAATCAGACCTTAGCTCCATGCTATCCCTACCGAACATGATTGGGTTGCTCAAGCCTTTTCCTGCCTTGCCAGGTTCCGTGGGATACAGACTCATGTTTTATGGGTGACCCAGCTGGACTCAGACCTAGATGAAGTCTGGGGCTTATAACAGCTTGTTCTGTTTTCCCTGCCAACACCAGTGCTCTGGCAGTCCCACTGTGTTGACTCAACGAGGTGTTATAATATCAACTAAAGGGAAGTCAGTCGAGTGGTTTTGGTATTTAGTTGTGACTTGGTAACAGAGTAGGGAGTTACTCCAGGGCTTCTTAATTCATTTTGCTACCATGCAAACAGAGGGAAACTAGCTTTTAAATCAGGTCTTACAACATTTGCAGTAATTTTAGGAGTGAGAATAGAGTGGAGATGGTGAGGTGGTATAATGGTAGCTGGATTCGTTAAGTACAGACATGCATACCCAGCTTCCTCTGAGACACACTGAGATCAAATATCTTGTCAGCTGATGGAGATTTCTCATTTCAGACAAAGGAATAATTCTCTATAGTACTTTGTAGACCACCGTAAGTAGCTTTTGGAAACCAGTGCTCTGATTTGTTAATTGTTATAATATGTTAATTAACTGGAATTAGTTGAACTAACTGTTCCTCAAATCCTTAAAAACAGTTATGGGATTTTTTGCTGTGGGTTTTTTTTTCCAAAGCAGATGGTACAGGCTTAGTGGCAAACACTTGCATGCTACTAGTTGTTAGTGACTTATGAAGTCCTGTCTTGAAGGGCTTTGGCACTTTTAACTCATTGCAAAACTGAATGTTTTTGCCTGTGAAATGGCCATGTTGGTAAGAATGTGGTACACAGTGCCTCTGGAAGGATGCAGTGTTCAGTGAAGTGGCCAGGTTGTTTTTCTTACAAACTCTACTCTGTTGTAGGCAGTAGAATGGATGTGCCAGATTCAGAGGAAGGAGCTTACCAGCAGTATGGTGAAGATGTGTACTACTCAGTGGAACAAGATACTTTTCCACAGGAAATGGCTAGCAGACCTCCAGTTCCTGTTCCAAGACCAGAGACCAGCTCTCCACAGCCAGACAATGAGCTGTACATCTCCAAAAGTGAGTTGGGTACCAGGACCTAAACTGTAGACTAGTCAACTGTAGAATGGCCTTCACATGGGCTCCAGTTGCTAAATCAACACCAAGAAAATCTACAGGTTTTTGAGACCTCTGGATTATTTGGCTCTGGAGTTGGATTACCTTTGGGATCCAATTTCACATCTGTTTTCATCTGCCTCATCTGAAAATGTGGGGATATTGTATTCTGAGGTCTTGGCCTGAGCTTGTGCTTAATGACACATAACCCCTAAATGGTATAAACACATCCAACTAAATTAGAAAGATCCTGATATTATAGGGAGACAATCAAGCTAATAAATTAAGATGTTACTGCTCTATAACGGTACCACTGATTCAGTAGCATTTGTACAGGACCTGATTCTATACATCAATACCTCCCCTTGAAGTGGGGTTTAATTGAAGAAAATTGTTCCTCCTAGTTTACTAGACAGTTTTAGAAATCTTGATCATATTTTACAAACATTTTAACAAGAACCACAGTAATGTGTGGGAGAGGAATTTCAGTGACTCCTCCTTCCCCCCATGACAGGATTTTGGGGAAATATTATATTATACTATCCAGACTTCTCTTGAAAGTGGCTGAGTTAAATCAGTTGAGGTCAATAGAAGGGGAGATCTATTGCAACTTCTTATCTTGTTTTCTTAAATGGACATAGTAGGGTAACAGAAGCTATAATGCAGTGTAGAATTATGTTTGCTTCCAATATTTATGCTTGTTGTTTCTGTCTTCATGAGATGTGTTTCAGTATTTAAGGATTGTTTGTTTTACAGTTTTTGCACAGAAAGCAAAAAGACCTGAGAATCTCTACATCTCCAGAGGAAGAGTTAAGAAAGGTAAGTCAGAAGTTCACTCTGAAAATCTTTCCAGTAATCCTAAAGCAAATCTGCTGAGATAACTTCGTTTGTATGAAATGTTACAGAACAGTCTTTTTTACAAGGCTCTGGGGATAATAGTCCTATATGAAGGACCCAAGCTTTCTGACCTTATGTGATACTGAAAACATTTTGTAACAGCAGAATGAAAGGTACCCCTTTATCACATCCTGTACATATCCCCTGTCTTGGAGTTTATCCTCTGGCATAATAACTGAAGTCCTTTATGTTGTGATTCATATTACTTTATGGAGTAAATGTCCCACTTTTGATCTTCTGCATATATCCACTGCCTGTTGATCATTATTTCCTGGGATTTAACCTTTAGTGAACTGCTTGCCATTGATCTTTGCACATCCAAAACTGTGCCCTAATCTTTCACCTCTTACCCTGTGCGCCATCAGAGTGCTAGGGACTGTATCTGAACTTTTATCTCATGTGTTACAAACTACTCTTCATGTTGCAAATGAGTTACAAAGAGTAGGATGAGTTTTCACCTCTCTGTTGCTGCAGTTATGCTGCACAGATTACCTAAGAAGAGTCTACCTTGGTGAATGTCAAGGTGAAAGCTCTGTTTTTTGAACTGCTGAGGAGAGAGATATTTTTGCAGTGAGGAAGCAGAGCATTTTAAGGAGTACATTTTGTGCTGTTCACTTAAATTATGTTTGTAAGAGCAGAGATTATCCCTGGGACATATTTGCGTACAGGGCTATCTCTCAGCTGGGCAAATAGCAAGATGGCATAAGGAGAAAATACTCTTCTGGTTAGGGAGTCATTCAATTTGTAGGTTTGTTTTTTTTTTTTTGTTTTTGTTTTTTTTTTAAATCTCTGCTGGACCAAGGGTGCTTGATTTTCTTTGTATTCAGTGAGGAGGGCAGATGCCACAAGTTCAATAACATTTTTGGTGGTGTTCTTTCTTCAGAGACAATAGTCAGGCCTGTAAGGGACCCATCTCAATCAAGCATATATGATCCATTTGCTGGAATGAAAACCCCAGGTCAACGGCAGCTGATAACATTACAAGAACAAGTGAAAATGGGCATACTCACTGTTGATGAAGCTGTACTTCATTTTAAGGAGTGGCAATTGAACCAGAAAAAAAGATCAGAATCATTCCGGTTCCAGCAGGTACAGGCTTACTCTACTGTTTAAGAAATGCATCTGTCTCTCTAGATATATCTTACAAGCTGTTCAGCATAGAATCATAGAATAGGTAGGGTTGGAAAGGACCTTAAAATCATCCAGTTCCAAGCCCCCTGCCTTGTGCAGGGACACCTCACACTAAACCATGTCACCCAAGGCTCTGCCCAGCCTGGCCTTGAACACCGCCAGGGATGGAGCATTCACAGCTTCCTTGGGCAACCCATTCCAGTGCCTCACCACCCTTACAGTAGAGAACTTCCTCCTTATATCCAATCTAAACTTCCCCTGTTTAAGTTTTAACCCATTACCCCTTGTCTTATCACTACAGTCCCTAGTGAAGAGTCCATCCCCAGCATCATGGAGGGGTTGTTCTCATGTGGCAGTAAACAGGCAGCTCTTTGACAGATTTGATTGTGTTGTATTACTATTGTGAGGTTTGGAAGATCTGTGCATTATGAATTCGGCCAAATCCAGTTGGCTGAGTTACCTTTCTAGAAGTCACCTAGCACCTGCCTGCTGGTGGGGGACTTCTGTGGTGCACATTTAACATGTCAGTTCTTATCCATTTCAGATCAGTGAAGATTTGGTGTCCCAGATGGTGTATTGGCTTTGAAGTCCTATATTGTAGATGGTTTGATCTTTCCCTGGGTGTTTGATGGCTCCATGACTATCTGTTATTTGCATCTGTGCAACGTCTAGCAACAGTCAAAAGTGAAAGCACAGTGTTTGGGTGGTTTAGCTGAAAGAAGGAATCATGTTGGCAGCAGCAACAAAATGACTGATGAAACTAGAAGTCATAGTTTAAAATTTCCATTCTCAAGTTAGAGTGGGGCTCCCTCTTTAAAATCACTGCCTGCTTCATTTGAAGCTTTTTGTTCATGCTGCAGCAGTCTGCTCTCCCACTTGAGGTGCTGGTCTCCAGTGTGTGACACTGTTTTGGCAGCTGTCAGAACAAAGACTTCTCCTGATTCACTTTGAAGGGTCCTCTCTACCCAGAAACAGTAGAGAAATCCCTACTTCTGTCAATAAAGAATGCAGTGCTACTTCAGTGGATGTCTGTAGCAGCGATAAAGTGTCATGCTCTGTGCCCCATCCCATTAGCAGCTTTAAAAAGTTCCAGATCTTGCCAGTATGCTGCCATACAGTGGTGAAGAGGCTTTGCCCCTGGTTACATTTCCAGGTGTCCCCTCTTGCTCTAGAGGGGACACTCTGAATTTTCCCTCGCTCTCTGGGATGCATGTCAGTCTCCTCTGAACCCTGCAGTCAGAATTATCTGTTCATTAGTACAGAAAGGACTATGCTTGATCATGGGTCTTGTTTTTGTGCCAGTGTCACAGTGGAAACAGAAAACAGAGGAAGTTCTAAACTAAATGTGCTGCTTATCTGCAACTGCCAGTGAGTGTGTGCACTTGACCTAAACACACACAATGGACATCAGAAAAAAACTGGCTTCTGAAAGGCACATATGGATTTCTGAAGGGAATAAATTAAAACCTGTTGATATGGTTTGGACTTCAGCCAAGTCTAGCAGTCTTTGTTACAGCTGGGTTGAAAAGTTAGCTGAAATACGATACTGGCTAACTTTTCAGAAAGCTGCTCATCCTCCTTTACCAAAGCCCTGAAAAGAATATCTTGTGATGTTTCTAGGAAAACCTGAAACGGCTACGAGACAGCATAACCAGGAGGCAAATGGAGAAGCAAAAAAAAGACAAAGCTGCAGGTAACAGTCTCTGATTCTGACATTCTCTGGTAATGAAGCAGCTGACAATATTAATATGCTTTTCAGGCAGAAGTGTTTCCATGTGTATTGTAGTTTTGTCATATTTTAATATTCACATCCATCTGTCTGTTGGCTAAAACATAGCACTTTACTCCTTAATTTTCCAGACTGAGGAAAGGATGCCCACATCTGTGGAGTAAATCTTGATCCATTCAATGTATATCACATGTATGATCGCCCTTACGTGATCATGTTTAACTTTTTCTCAGGTGGAAAGCTGTCCCTCAGGGACTATACTTGCCTAGAGCCTTCTGAGCTGTTCATTTTCCCTTTCAGATTTGGAAATTACAGTACCCATTCGACATTCTCATAATACTTTGGGAAAACCAGAATGTGGAATATATGAATACACACCCAGGAAAAATGTTTTCCCACCAAAAAATGAGTTAAAGCGAGGAGACTGGAAAACAGAAAGCACATCTAGCACAACAAGTAAGCAAGCCCTGAGTGCCACCCTCTCTACAGGAATGCTGGATGGAAAACACTTCCCCAGAGTGACTCTGGAGTAAGCTCAGGGGACAAGACTTCTGTTACTGAATCCCAGTGCTGACTCACCACACCAAACCCTGCATGCATTCTGTTGCATGCAGGCTGTTCTCAAAACGGTAAAAGCAACTCCAGGTACATCAAGGGGTTTGAGCATCTCTCACCTGCATCTCTGCAGGAGGAGAACCTGAAAGCTGAGTGAAAAATTCCCTTGAGCCTCTTCAGGGAAAGCGTATTACCTGTCTCCAGTTCTTAAAAGTATATGGCAGCTGCTGCCTCAGAAAAAAAAGGATGATACATTGCCATAACTCTCAGCAGGCAGTGTGCTCTTCTGGTTTGAAGGACATAGTTATATTGCAGGCTGGGAACCCATATCTACTGTAGTTTCCTCAGCTGTTGCAAATAAAGGACAACATTTTTCATGTGGGACCTCTTGAGTAACTTACACAGTCTGCACATTTTTATTATCTTTGTTTTTTATTAGGTTTAATTTGCACAAATTAAATACCTGCGTTCTTGCTGTTATTGCAGACTGCACAATTCTTGCAGAAATCAAGATCATTTTGGTGCTCTGAAAGGAAAATTGAGAACCAGTGAGGTTACTACCTTTGTGGCTCTTGGCAAGATAGAACTGGCACATGTCCAAAGTAGGTGCCAGAGGCAGTTGACAGAGCCAGTAACTTGCATATAAGCAGTTGAGAGAAATGTTAATGCGTCTAAGGAGTTCACTATGTGCAGCTTGGCTCTTTCCCATGGTGTGATTGTGAGAATGGACCCGAATACAATATTTATCACTCTTTAAGCGCTGCTGTTTGAACCAACTGATAATGAGTTACATCACCAAGGTTAGGGAGGAGGTGCATCTTATGAGAGAACCTCTCTAGCCTCCATTTCAATGTATAGGTTTCTGAACATTAGTGTCCTAGTATTGAACAGCCCTACAGAACATTATGCATTTGTGACTGAAACCAGCCATAGCAATGTAAGATATGTTTGTATGTTGCTGTCCCCTTCAGAGATGGCATGTCTGACTGCAAAAACATTTCATAGTCTGGGTTCATGCAAGTTAAATGGGTTTGCATAAATGGTTGCTGCAGGCTGTTTGAACAAACTTGTAATTTTTAGCTCTGAAGTAGACTAGGAAACATTCCTATAATGAGTAAGGATTGTTGTGAGAGGAGGTGGTGAACAGCTATTGGGAACAATAACGTCATGAGCAGTCACTTGCTAAAGGAATGAATGTGTGACAGTGCTCAGAGCCATTTAACTCCATGCAGTTGTTAAAGACATGGAGATCGATAATTTAAATATACATAAATGTTGGGTGTGTAACACTTGTGAAAATATTTACCTGACTTGGCAGCTGATACGGCATTGTATCCTTTCAGTTAGGTTATGGTTGAGGGTATTTAACCAGAAGCCTGGACCTAGAGAGGGCAGAAATTGGCTAGAAAGAAAGCAAAACTGAATGATCTGGCCCTGTGCTCAGCATTGTATGAAATGCAATTGTTTGGATCCTGAACATGTGAAAAATAACAGTGGAAATAAATTAATCTAAACAAGCATTAAATGATGTGTGCAAGAGATTAGAAGGAGCCCTGAATTAGTGTTTTGCAGTTGAATCACCAGGATTTAATAATCAGTTTGTTTTTATCTTGTTTACTCTAGGTAGTGCAAGTAACCGCTCCAGCACTCGGAGCATATTGAGTGTCAGCAGTGGGATGGAAGGGGACAGTGAGGTAGGTTCTCACCTCTGCTACATACTGGTCCACTGTTCTTAAGTACATGGCTTTGTTTTCATGTGAAGAAAAGATGCTCAGGGATAGCACTGCATTTGCAGAAATGGCAAATGTAGCCACTTCTGTTGTGAAGCTAACAAGGACCAAATTTTGCTGGCCTTTAACCTCTTTCCTCATTTTGTAGGACAATGAAGTTGCAGAAACAACTAGAAGCCGCAGCCCAGTTACCCACCGAACAGAGAGGCTGCCATTCCCAGAAAGGCCTCCCAGAGTGCCTCCTCGAGGTGCAAGCAGGTAAAGCTAAAAAGCAGCTTAGACGTGAGTGCTCTGTGCATCAGTATAGAAGCCTTGGGCAGAAAGCAAGGCAGGAAGCAAATATGTCTTTCAGCAAGATTTACCAGTCTATTATTTATAAATGCATGCTGTTAGAAATTGTAAAATTCTCGTTCCTCATCTGGAATCCTTGGTGGAATTGGTTTCCTGGTTAGTAACATGCCAATTGTAGTACTGTTACTGTGGTTCACTTGATGCAAGGACAGCAGTATTGAAGCGCACAATGCTTGCCACAGTAAGACTGACCGAAGTGGAGTAGCATCCTGATCCTGGCAAAGATTTAGTACCTAATCCTTCTGAGATGATCCTCTTGGAACATACAGAGCAGAGTGCACAGGGAATTCCTGTTTGGCATTCCCTTAGACTTCTTCAGTTTTGACAAAATCTCTCCAAAGCATACTTGTTTACATGTATGATTGGCCTCAAAGCAAAAACTGCACTGGTTTTGTAAAAGGTGTTGAGGGGTTTTGCCTTGATTTGGCCACCACAAACTTAAGTGACTTACAAACATTTCTCCAGTCCAACCAACCACAAGTCTATGAAGTCCAGGCCCCAGAGGTTTATCTAAGTATAGATCCTATTTGAAATTCTCCAACTGTTAAAATAGTAATTAGTAATGTGTGGGTGCAGTAAATTCTGAATGTTGACTTGAGGCTTTGCAAGAATATAGCTGGAATTTCTCTCTAGTTATTTTGAAGGAAAAAAAAAAGATTTTGGATCTTTTGATCTCTTCCTATTGCTCTTCATGTAATTTTCAGGAGGAAGCTGTTATACTATCAAAGTTTTACTCCACCCAAGTATTACAGCGTCTCTTTCCAGTAATAGTAGAATTACTGCAGCTGAAAAGCAGAAGAAATAACTTGTGCAGGAGGGCTCTGGTACCTTGGCATCTGCTTTGTTGCTGAATTGGTGGTAGCCTGTTTTTCTTCTTGTATGACTACTGCTTGTAGTGTTCTTAGTTATGATTTTATTGTGTGCAATTTGTTGTTCCAGAACCCTATTCTCTACTTTTTTTTTTTTTAAATTCATTTGTATTCTGTCTTTTTATAGGCCTGTAAGCAGTGAAGGCTTTTATCCTCCACCTGTGCCCCCAAGAGGTCGCTGAGTCTCTCAACATCTGTGGAATATGAGATTTTTCTGGTTTTATATGTGTTTTACAGATATTTTTGGGTTGTCTTTAAATTATTTATAACTGGGAGCCAAATGTGTTCTTCCCCATCCTCCCCTTTAAAGCTCTGATGACTTTTTGCATGATTTTCACTGAGACTTCTAGGTCTTCTATAACATTTTTTTTTAAATTTAAATAATTCTGGTGCTTTGGGACTTCAAGAAAAAGCATCATGGTCAGGAAGGAGAACACTGATGTGTGTCTTGGCAGCCCTGCACCAACACAAACTTTCTTTCTGACCAAGAAAGAACACGTGTCCTCTTAGAAACTAAATCCTGATAAGCATTGCTACCAAAGCCCTTGAAACATGCTTGAAAAAGTAAAGAAAATTAGTTGTTCAAAGACTTTGTTTGAAGAACACTCATTACAGGAGGAACAGCTGAATGTACTTCTGTTTGGTATAAGATTTTGGGTACGAACATACTGACCTTTCAGAAGATGTGGAATCTCCCTCCGGCAGTCGTTAAATCATGGGAGGTTGAGAAGTTGTCTTTATTCAAGGTTGTATGCAAAATACATTAAAAAAACCCACTTTTCACTTTCTTCTTCCCTTCCTGAAGACAACAGACATTGTCAAGGTGTTATTTGTGCTACATTTGCCATGAAATTTCCCAAGGGAGCCGGTAAGAGACCTGTTGTATCACAAAACAACTGTACTTAAAGCTTTTTTGGGGAGCGGGTGGGTATGTTGTTATTTGAAACCACATGACTGATCTCTTAAATTAGAGGAAGGAGTTGGCAGCAGTGCTGGGTTTGGCATCTCTTATATGTGTTCAATGTAGAAGCAATATGCAGGCATTTCACTTTATGCTCTGGAATAATATAGCGAGTCTCCAATTATAAGTGCGCACACCTCACAAATACCAGGCATGTAGTTAGCCTGCTGCTATGGAAGTGCGCAGCCGTGGAGCTGGACTCTGCTCGCTCTACTTTTCCTGTTTAGTAATGTGAATCTGCAACAGCTTTGTCCAGCCTTTTTTCTGCCCGAAAAGTTACAAACATAACTTCCTGGTTTGGTGGTGTTCCAAATGCAGAAAGCATATAAAGCAGAAATGAAGTTTGATTTCTTATCTCAAGGGACATGAGTGATGGAAGTGAGGTGTTTTGGGAAATTTTTGGGTTGTGGGTTTTTTTGGTTGTTTTGGGGTGTTTTTTTTCCTTCCAGGCCTTGCAGTCTTGTGTGTATCCTGGTCACTGGGGAACCAAGTATTAGGGGTGTGTTTGAGCACGAGTGGTGCAGATGGGAATTCTGCAAGATAAGATTCAGGGCAGAGAATTAAGCATAATACTTGGTTTTCAAACCATACGCCTTCTTCCAGCCCTGACAGAGACATAGATACATCTGTATTAGGTGATCCCTTGGGTGCAGGTAGGACATGTAAAGCTTCTGTCTGGTCATGTAAGCTCTCCTTAATCTGTAAGAGAGCAAGAGTTGTAGCTCCTTCCTCTTGCAGGGTGGCAAAGTCAGTGTGGGGAGCTGCAGGAGTGACAGATGGCAACTGTGACTCAGTCAGCACTGAATGAAGGTGGAGAAGCCCCTGCTGCTCTCAGGGGATAGGCATAAGCTAAGTATCATCTACACATTAAACTCACAGAATATGACTGCAGATGCAGTTCAGATAGCCTCTCCCTTTTATGGTAGAGGGATGCAGGTGTTGTGCTGCAGGTCTATAGTGAGAGGTACAGAGGTGACCTTTTTTTTCTCTTTTCCAAAGGACCTCAGCACTTTCTCCAGTAACTCCAACACTACAGGCTCACTGACAGTTTGCTTTTTGTTCACAGTAGCCAGGAGAATGGTGAGGTGGGAGCTGCCTTCCTGTGCTGCTCTTGGAACAGAACAAAGTTCCCAGCAATACTCAGTCAAATTAGAAGCAGGAAAGGAAGTTTGATGCTGAAATTAGGAAAATAGTAGCATGGATAAGGGAAGGAAACAGGGATAAATAAAAGAGGAAATTCAACAGCTTGATTGTCTTCAGCTGTCACATATGCTTTGGTTTGCACACAGCTCCCTGGTTTTGCTCAGATGTTCCCCATCTCCTTAGTACTGGGTGCAGCTGTGCTGCAGAGCTTGAGTGGTGATGTGATAAGACAAGTTTATCTGCTTCCGCATCTCCCAGGCACAACATAAGGTAGACCTGTAGGATGTGGGGAAAACTGTAACAGGGCAGGAAGGGAAGGGCAAAATAAGAGAGTGTATCACACAGAAGGTTTCCTTTCAAAGCCACTGGACTGAAGCAGCCCAGGTATCCCTGCCTTGCCCAGCTAATTTTTAATTCTGCACTCCTGCATGTGATAGCCAAATGTCTTCTGTGGGAGGAGTTTATCTGAGCATTTGCCTTTGCACAATCCTAATAATGTGGCTGTAAACTTGATTTTTATTGCTAGTGCTACAGTGAGATGGCTTATATCTGAATTACTGAAAAGTAGCTCCTAAGTAGCCTTTCAGTCCCTTTCCCATTTGCAACTTAGATATTTCTTTAGTCCAACCTGACTAAATGCTGACAAAGTCTGACAAAATCAGATGCTAGGGGGGGTCTGGTTTGGAGGAGAGGTGAGGTAGGACAGGTGGGGCTGAGAAATACTATAAATGCAGTCTGTTCAGCCCCCTTCCCCATTGCCTAAGAGTGGGAAATAGAAGATAGAGCTGTACTCTCTGGCATTCCCATCTTTCTTTCTAACTTCTTCTGGATCAGTTGGGAATTTCACTGACCAACCATCACAGATTCTACTACTACCCTATGAAGGAGGAAAAGGAATAGCTCTAAAATGGCTTCACCTGATAAACGCAGGTAAACATTTGGGGTGCAGGCATGATGCTTAAGGTTTATGAAGACCATCAGAGATGCACCTTTTCAACTGCCGAAATGTGTTCCATGTTGGTGTGGTTTCAGTTAGTTGCTTTAAGGCTTTTCTGGCTCAGTGTATGCAGTCTCTGTATCTGTAATTTCCATTTGTGCTGGTGAGCATGTGGTGTGTATTGCTTCCACCTAAGGTGAAAAGTGCACTGACACTGAAGCTCAGAAGACACTGGAGAAGAAAACTGCATGTAACCAGACTCCTGATTACTCAAGAATATGCTGGTGGGGGGAGAGCGGGAATGAACTGTGTTTCTGTCAGACATTAGAGGTCAAGGACTGAAAAGATAAAATTGCTGGTAAAAAGTAAATGACCTGGCCCCCTGCAGGGGTATCCACCAAGCTCAGGTGGCAGCTGGCTGGCTGGCTGGCCTGGGGAAAGCATTTGCTCTTTGTGCAACTGCTTCAGAAAACCCACTGCAGCAGATGGCTCTGGCTGGCTCTGTTGTTGACTGTGAGACTTAAGTACTGAATAAACTGAAGATGCTGAAGCCTCCTCTCTCTGTCTCCCATGGGTAAGCTACTCTGTTTTGGACGGAGACACAACTAGAAAGAAACATATGGTGTTATCACAGCTGACTAGGTAATTTTTTGCTTTGGGTTTTTGTTTGTTTCGTGGTTGTTTTTTCATATAAACGTGTTTTGAATGGGTTTTGACAAGCATCTCTACAGTGACCACACTGCTACTGAAATAGGCAGGAGAATTTGAATATACTATCTGGAAAATGCTTCGTATAAAAACACAGCTTGCTAAAATATATTCAGGGAAGGCAGACTGTGAACATAAGATCACAAGGGGAAAAGCTGTTAGGATGGGTACGGTAGTTTTGCACTGGGTATCTGGTTTTGCACCATTTCTACAAAGCATGGATGGCATGTAACGGTACTGAGCGTGTCTCCTTTGCTGTTTGTTAATGTGTGCAAAATCTGAGAAGACTGTTTAGCCCCTTTTAAAAAAATACTATGTCCGATAGTCTCTGAAAATTGTTTTTGCATTTGCTCAGTTTAAAAATTATATCATTGACCCCTTAATGCCATGAGCTTTTTGGCTCTGGGCTTTTCACTTTGGCCTTGTAGCCTGAGCTAGTTCCAAGCTCACACACAGGGCTGCAGGCTCTATCCGAGCCGGAGCTGACTGAGACCTCCCCGTCTGTGCCGCCCCGGTACCTGCCCTTGGGCAGCAGGGCTTTCTGCACTGCGGCGTTCCTGGATTTCTCCCACATGTACAATTGCTGTAGGAAACGGGACCGCTTACTGTTAAAGGCACTTGAAAAGAGTCCGTGGCACGTTCCCCTCAAACAAACTTTATTTGTTCATTGATCGGTATGTGATCAATTAAAAGATAATCGAGGCCTTAGTGTCTAACATGCCCGCGGCGCGGGGCAAGCGGGTCCTGCCCGCCGTCTCCCCCCCTTTATATCCGCAGTCCCGGTCCAGCCTGCAGGTACCGACCTGCCCCTCCCCGCGGGCAGCACCCCGCCGCTCGGCTTGGCTCCCGGCAGCCGCCGTAGGTGCCGCGCTTCCGGCGTGCGGCCGGATGACGTGGCCGGGCGGAGCGGAAGTGGCGTCGCAGGTCGGCGTTGGCGGCGGGGCGCGGGCCGGCTCCGCGGCGGGGCCTGCTGCGTGCGCGCGGACGCCGAGGCCCGAGATGGCGGCGCCCGGGCCGCAGCTGTCCGCGGCAGCCGCGCTGCTCCCGCTGCTCCTCCTGTGCCTGCCGCTGCGCGCCCTCGCTGACGAGCACGAGCACACGGTGAGGCGGTGCCCGGCCTCCCCCCGGGGGGCCTGCGGTGCCTGGGCCGCCGCCCCGACCTCCCCGGCCGCGGTCCTTGCTGCCAACGAGGGGTGGCTGCGTCCGCAGCTGCCCGGAGAGTGCGGCCCGGCCGGTGGGCGGAGCGGGGAGTGACGGGCTGCGGCCTGGCATGGGGGTGAGCGGGCGGGCGGGCGGCGGCCCTGGCGGGTGGTCCCGCCCAGCGGAGCTTTCTCCTTGTCTTCCCCGCTGTGTGGATTGTGTTGGCAGCGTGGGGCAGGTGTGGGCTATGTTCTGTCTCGGTGTGAGTGGGACGCTCGGGGAAGTGCTACCGGAGGTTTGTGGTCCGGTTCGGACATCCGTGTGTCGGCCGGGCGCGGTGCCACTTAGATAGCGGTCGCGTGTCCCGCCTTTTCCCGGCGCAAATAAAAACCCCGCAGGTGCCTGTGCGTTGTTTGAAGAGGGCTGCCCGGCTGTTGGTGTTGTGCTTTGCGGGAGCGGCCGTTCCTTCCGGGAGGGTGTTTGTATTTGCTTCGGCGCAGCAGTACAATCCGGAGCTGCCTGCCTCGGGGGAGCCGCGGCCGGGTGACAGCCGGTGCCGGGGGGTGGCGTGGACCTGGGCTCAGGGCAGGGCCGAGCGCTCCGCTTGGGGCACTGCGTGGAGCCCGGAGGGAAAGGGTGCGAAAAGCATAGCTTGAGTGCTCACTTGTCAGTGTGAGGATAGATGTTCCGAAGTGCTTGCAATGTCACCCGAGCAGAATCTCTAAGAAGGAAGCACCAGTGTACGATTTTGCATCGGAGTGTTGTTTCCTGTGGCTTTTGGTGTGGGAGGGTGGAAGTCTGCGATGAGCTGAGATGTGATTTTGACACCAGACTTTTCTGAAAACCATCCCTGTTTCCTCGCAAATGGAGTGGATTGGAGTGTGCCCATGATTA